CTACATTTTGTTTACAGGGAAGCAATAAAAAAACACAAAATACTGTGTTATAATAGTGAAGTGTATCCAATGGGATAAGTAATGACTTAAATTAAAAAACGTAGAATTAAAAATTACATTACTGATTTATTTAATAAATTTGTCATTATTACCAATAAAAATTTACTGTATTAAAAGTAATAGTGGCAGTTTGAATATTTACATTTACTTAATAAACATGCCGGCGAACTTAGCAAAACTTTATTTAAACATTCAAACTTTTTTTATTTATAGTGTGATTTGTTGACTTATTACAGTTAGTTTTCCTTAGTAACATTGACTCACTTTTTATTTGTACGTAAACGTATTATAAAAATTTGACTGCACTCTAATAATAAACAGTACGAAATTTTGTTTAAAGTAGATTTCAAATTCTTAACACGTGCACCGATGAAAACAATATACAACAATATTTTAACCAGATGTTGCTTGTTTAAATAGTCGACTATTATTACAAATATGTACCGTACTGAAATAAAACACACCTATTCGACCCACATGCGACCTCTGTCGTCATGGGCTCATGCCGGTAGCGCCCGCGCCCGCGCCGGGGAACAAACGCGTGGCCACATATCACCATTATACCCTCCAGTCATACAAACCGTTCACAAGTCATTGCGTATAAACAATGACCCAGTACGCCGCGTAGTTTTCCATCCGTTAAAACCTTATGCCACGCTGTTACTTTCAATTCAACTTAACCCATAACTGTAAGGTTAAGTCGCCGGTCTGTCTTTGTCTCGGTTTCATTACAACGTTTTTAACTGTAACCATAGTAATACGTTATGAAAATTAAATTATGAATTATCCAGAGGTTATCAGGTTCCTCTTTTCGATACTTACTTTAAATTACAATAAAGGGAATTGTACTTTTATAACTTTGTAAATTCTAAATTTAAAACGAACGTAATGCATCATCATACTATAAAAAAGCGCTTTACTTAATAGTACTGTCTACTCCATGTCCTGCGTGTGATAAAGTGCATACAAAACTTGTCTGTAAACCTACGGAAATGAACTTGCTCTACAAAAAAGTTAGTTGCCTTCAAAGTCACATGACACATTCATTTATGGGCAAAGCGGACTAACCTTAACCTAATACAGGGTTAGAAAACACGAGGCGACTATAAGTCAATTACATACCCTTGAAATTTAAAATGAGTCGATTAAATTTATTTCATACATTTTACAAGCCAATATAACTTATTTTATTAGTAATTATTTCGTCCATAACTTGTTCGTAACTTTGCTTGACGACTACTTTTAATGCCCTTTAGTTTTAATTGACCATACGATTCTGATGGCCTTATAACAATTTTAAGTGCTTGGATGAACATTAAGATTGCTCAACAATACAGGCTTGATGGCAAAATGTTTAATTCCATTGCTAATGTAATTAGTTATAGCATTGATATTTATTGTCTCCAGGAATGGCCGGGTGTCAGCGCAAGCGGAAGGGCCATCGCGCCGCAAGAGCAATCTACACAATGCCATGGCGGCCGAAATGGACTCCTCATGGGGTAGGATTACAATATTTTTCTACACCACATATTTAAGTTACGAAAGCTGAAGACGTCGCTATTGCCGCCTCAAGTTCTAGGAATCCGCATCGAGCGACCAAGCGGCTTTATTTTAAACCATCACGTGTCCCACGAAATATCTTACCGTGAAAGCTATGACTTCACCGCTTATCATATTTATAGGAATTACCTCTGTTAAAGAAACGTTAACTCAATTTTCTTAAAGAATAAGACACAGCCTTTGATACGGGCAGCAAAATTGCGAGTGAAAATTACTAAATAAAATATCATCTTTAAAGTTTATTTTTTTAATAGTATTTTTAGTAGTAATATTTATTGTAAATGAGAAAGTTTAGATACATTGATAGATGGAATAATGAATATTTGTTATTACAACTGCTTACATTTACGTTATCAAATTAATATTTACAACATGTAAATACAACATGATTAGCTTAGTTGCTTGTTAAAATCAAGTAAGATTCTTGTTGGTTATTTATTTCTGTAACGAAAAAATTATGACGATATGCTCATTACATCTTTTAACTTCTTATAGGATAGGTAGACTGTGCAGCTTTATTACTTACTTCAGACATTCTGGTTAAAGATGACCATTTATTTTATTCTGACCTGCACAAACACTGTAGTACCAAACGCTAAATAATAAAAATAAATTTCAATATTGATTGATGAAATTCTGATTAGGTAAAATGATATTATGCAAAGTACGATTCATTATATTAAAAAAATGAAAGGGCTATAAGAATTTAAAATTGTACATTATACAAATGTTATCAAACAGTATGTGTGTATCTGCAATTCTAATAAGATTTAGCAGCATTAGTATTATTATTATTTAAATATATATTTAAATGATTTAAACATTGGAATATGTTTTAAAAGCGGTGTAATTTCGAAAACTACTGAATAGTATTATCAAATATACGGCTTGCTTCCTGATAATTTATGCAAATGAGTTGAAAAGTTACAGTCGTATGCGCATGCGATAACGTAACAATTCATCGAGTTTTTTCGATTCTTTTAATTTAGCTATGACCGACTTTCATATTATTAATTGTTATGGTATTCAATATTGAGAAATCTTTAATGGAACCTGTGCGAAAGTGGTTTACAATTTATGTAAAAGAAGAAACCAACTCAGAGAATTCTACGCACAGCCAAAACTAATTGGCCTAGAAACTAGATATTTTGCGCAGAGGCTTCTATTTGATATGTTACGTATTTAATTATTTAATGTCGAAAGTGCGGATTGAAAGGAGTGATTCTTACGCAAATGTACTTAAAAATTGACAAAAACATTATTTTGTATTGGTAAATCATTTTACACGTATTTACTATTGATTCAATATATTTACATTTAACTTATTCAAACTATCACAATAACACTGGCTATTTTAACTATGTTTCTTAACAAAATTGATGTATAGAAATTGAAAAATCTACTCTTACGTCGTACGACTAAAAGCGTAGAGAAAGTTAAGTAAATAAATTACCTTAATAAATAATTGACAGAATGAACACGTAATTTAATTTAAATTTAGGGATAAAGAATTTGTAAACGCGATTATTGTTTAACAGAAGTTATTTATGAGTAAAAAGAATCAATATTAAAAAAGGAAGAATTTTTGACACTTGTCGTATTTTTTTACTATAAAAAATGGTTTGCATATTAAATTATTGACTTCTGTTTTAACGTAATTCTTATTTAAACAGAAGTGACATTTTGGGTAATCGCAGTATACCAGCAAAGTTGCTTAGGTCGCAGGAAGTCATACGAACGGACACATATTCATACGCTCCCGTTAGTCGGAAATACACAGATAAATCTTTATCTTTATTATAAAACACGTGGCATTAACATCCGTTGGTTAGTGACGATAAGCGGAACTGAAACTAATATTTACAAGTTTAAACAAGCAACGCCTGACAATTTCTGCGGAAGTATTAAGTAGATAACCTTACCACATCAATCAGGCGAGATCAGATCAATCGGATCTCATACTTTACCTAAATAATACCTGCAAAGTGTTATTAAAACGAAACAATGTATTAATTATTACAGTTAGGAAATTTTATGATAACTTCGACATTTATATAATATTTGCAAATAATAATTTATTTGGTTGAAGTAATAAAAAATGCAAAATCTATAAACTAACTTTCGCTCGCGACATCGTCCTCGTGGATTTAAAAAAAAAAACAAAGTGATTATTCTTCCAGACTATATTCTACATCTGTGCCAAATTTTATCTATATCCGTTCAGGCATTAAGGCTAGAAAGTCTAACAAACATCCATCCATCTAAACTTTCGCAGTTATAATCTTAGTATGATTAAGATCAAGATGTTTCTATAATACGTATTTATTCTCTGTGTGTAAAGTGTACGTTTTATAGGAAAAATAACTAATAAAAATAATAATATGGATTAGAAACACATTAGACAACAGTGAACCTCTTCTCTAAAGCTGTCAATATTAAGATAACGTCGATGGACTTTAAAAATTTATGATAATGGATGATCCTAGTGAACATGTACACTTTGTATTTTGTTAACATTTTAATTTTATTTACTTGAATGAAAAACACAATATTATGTGATTATATAATCGCTTGCCTACAGTTCTGTGTATTATAATTTAATTTCTAACAATAAATCATAAAATACACGACTTGACGAAGAATTAAAACTAAAATCTATAAATACCATTGTTCCACTTTAAAGTAAAGCACTGTCTATAATCTACAAACACTCCGACCTTCAAAAGAAAAGGTACAGGTATAATTCTATTCAGCTGTCATTTCCCACAAATTGATCGATTGTCACTTCATGATACTTGTGCTTCGACTATAACGCGGTCTTTCTTCGTTCGCAGATCGGCCGGCACACATCGAGGGCAGGTATAAAAAATATTCAACAACTTCTTCCGTATATTCCAAGAAAGCACTATCTCATCAAAGCGAACATATCGAAAGGTAATATCTCGTATTTGTCTACTAGTTATTGCTTTTTTTAATTGGCCTTCATAACTTCGCGCTATAAATGTTCTGTTTCGTGTTCGTTTTTTTTTTCTTATTTTTGCTACAAATATTTGTTTTGATGATTTAGATAGTTTATATTTTATTTAAAAGTAATGTATAGAAAACAATAATGATGCAACCAATATCCAAGTATTTCATTGTTCAGCAATTTACAAATCCTATTTTTGTTGAAATAAAAATGATGAAGTTTATGAAGAATACGTGATTAAATTAGAAACGTTGACCTACAGGTTGGATCACGTATTATTTGTAACTTTTGTATTTACTTATTGCAATAGAACAATTTATTCACAATTTTTAAAACGAGTGCACGGTATTTTAAAACATTAGTCGATAACCAGCACTTTATATCAATGTAGAACATTGAAATAGTTTGGAGTGCGTTATCCAAGTGAACGATGTACTCTTGTGCCGGCAGGTCCTGGTGGTACGCCTGCTGCCAGAAGTGTCATCAAGAGGACTCTGGGACTCCCTCCTGGGAGCCACCGCATTGGCAAAAAATTTGTCCCTACCCACTATGTCCATCTTACAGACATTTTGCTCAAACACTTTCCATATTTTTAATTGGTAAGTTATGGCGTATTTTAATTTTATCATTATTTGTGTTTCGACAATTTTAACCAATTCAAAGAAAAATATTACATGCATAGTTGCAGCAGCATTTTCTTTTGTTTACACTGCGATTTTACACCGATTTTAAACATTGATTTTCCAAAAGCTATTAGCTGAATGCTAAGCGAGTATTTTTAATGTTTTAGGTATTTTGGTATGGGTGATTATCTGGATAGTGATGGGAGAGACGGCGGCGCCGGGCGGGCAGTTGTTCACACTCGCTGTGCTCACTATCGCCGCATACTTCGGCGGCTGGGTTATGGTCAAAGTGACCACGCTGCCCGCCCTCATCGGAATGTTAATTGTTGGAATTGTAATGAAAAATATTGGATTCGTGAACTTTAATGAAAGCTACGAGCACGTATGTTCTTACATAAGGTAAACATTATTATGTAAACATACACATTCTTAGAAATGTTATGATTAACTCTTCACAGTAACTGTCGTAATTTCACTTTGAAAACAGATTTAAACTTATATAAGAGTAATTTTCGGTCACGTTTAACATGTAAATCAAGTTTCTATGTAGCATTTTTTAATTTCAGGAAAATAGCTTTAACGATTATTCTTACCCGAGCTGGTTTGGATCTCGATCCGGTCGCAATGAAAAAATTCTTCTTCACCGTTATAAAGCTTGCTCTAATACCCTGGACATTTGAATGCGTGTTGTGCGCAGTGATGGCCAATTTACTACTCGGCCTACCTTGGGATTGGGGTGAGTACCTTTATGTACATAGCCTGATTTTAATGCTTTTGAAACGTAAAACCTGTAAATTCACAGTTAAATTTGATTGTAGCGTTCCTACTGGGCTCGATAATAGCGGCGGTATCGCCGGCTGTGATCGTGCCGTGCCTATTCCGGCTGCGTGGCAAGGGCTACGGTGTCTCCAAGGGCATCCCCACGCTGGTGCTAGCGGTGTCCGGCGTTGACGATGCGGCCAGTGTCGCTGTCTTTGGCATCGTCTCCTCTATCATGTTTGGAAGTTCTTCTATAACGATGAATATCATACAGGTAATCTTTGATTAAACAAATGAATGAATGATATATCATGATGATAATCAAATAATCGTACAAGTTCTTAAGACTATAGAAATCGAAATTTAAAAAGGGGTTTACGGAGAAATGCTAAGAAGAAAGTACGTTTGCATTGGGTTATTTTTTTTTAAAATTTCCATGTTCATAATTCTTTCAGGGTCCATTCAGTGTGATCGGTGGGATAGCTTTCGGAGTCGTTTGCGGCTACCTCGTGAAATACATTCCGGAGAGAAATGACGCTTTCCTAGTGCCACTGCGAGTCCTGCTTCTACTTACCGGAGGTCTCATGTCTGTTTTCGGATCGGAAGAAATCGGTTGGGGTGGAGCTGGTAAGTCAAAGAATTCCGACTACTGACTATGTTAATTCATAATATTATGAATATAGGTTTGTTTTTAATAAAACTTCCTCGTTGAAGAGAACTATATTTTAGTACTTTGATAAAAGAAATGTGACGTTCAAAATATGCATGCTATATTTCGGGCACTTTTTACTAGAACACACTCACAATTCACGCGTCACGCGCTTTCTCACTAACCGGCAGTCGATTAAATTGTTTTCAGTCGGTAGTTCCAAGTACGATTGATTGTTTTGTTCTGTATGATGCGAGATTTTCACACGAACAATACACTGTTGCAACTATAAAAATCGATCTCTAATAAAACAGGAGGAAACAAAGCTATTTGAAATCTCTGTTTACACTCGTGCGTCCACTATGACAAACCACGCTATATTTTATAAGCTAAACGAGGTGGTGTGCCAGCTGGATATGATAAGTTCGTTTTAAGTTTCTTTAATTAAATGGTTTTTGTATCAAAATATATGTAAAATATTTGTTTTTAGCCATGTATCTCGTACAATAATGAAACTGCAATGCTTATGTTATTGAAACAAAATAACATTATTCAATGTTAATGAATTGTATATTCTTTTAAGTGGCTATTAGTTATTATAATACAGTTATCTATATATTTAATTATATATATGAATTGAAATCCATGTTCATGTTTATTTTTGTGAAATAAATTAAAGAAATCAATGAATTAGCATATACTTTAATAACTGTAACAGAAAATATTATTCAGAATTATAACTCAATAGCTAACGCATTTTTACTTAGAATTGCAGGATACACATGTACTCTAGACGACCAAACCGCTAGAATACAAAACATGTTTATAACGTACTAAAGAATTCTAAAGGCAAAGTAAATTACCATGTTCACCCGAATTTGATAGCTGCTAAAACCTGTACACAGCTATTTATAGACTGTAAAATATTTTTATTACCAACTGTTGCCTTTCACCGAAAAATTGATAGAAATAGGTGTTTTACTTCTACAAATTCCGCATATTAATCTTTAACAGAATAATAACATGAATTGGATAATAATTGCTGATTTAATAACGGTAAATGCTAAAATATGTCGCTATAAAAAATGTGCACAGTAAGAACAACGAGCGATAACGATTTGCGCTTTAAGCAAAATAGAGTACACGTGTTCTGTTAGTCTTAAATTCTTGCAGTTTTAAACAAAACGCCTTCGACTATTGTAATTTATGAATAATAGATCTTGTTTTTTTATTCTGAATGACGCACTTTGTTTTAGTTAACTAAGAATTATATAGCACCGCTGGCCAGAAGGCGAAATATATATGTCTGTGAATACTACGTCGCCTATCAGGTTAACTTTTTTCAACAAATTTTCTTTCATAGAAATATTAACATCAAACTTTATGTTTATTTATGTTTTTAAACAGGACACACATACTTGTATAATTGATTTTAAAATTTCCTGTTATTTTATTTTTTGCCTTTTAACTAAAATTAGGTTTTTAGACCAATTTTCCTGCTGTATACCTATACTTATGAAGGTATATGTAGTAATAAATATACTTATAACTATTAGAAAATTACAAATCTTAAAGTGCGTAGTATACCTCATTATTTTAATAATTAATGAGATTTTAAGCTAATGATTATTAAATACGATTTTAAACGTATGATATGCTTAATTGTATTTGTATTATTTATTTCAGGCCCATTAGCCGTTATTGCGTTCGCATTCGTCGCGTGTAAGAACTGGGCCGAGCAGGGATGGGAACTTGAGGACAATCCTGTTGCAACCGCATTCGAAATTTTCTGGATGTTCTTCGAACCGATGCTGTTCTCTGTCACTGGAGCACAAGTTGTTGTAAGTATTACAAGTTGTTGTTATATGAAGTCTAACAAGCAATTATTTTCTTATTTAATAGGCTCCAAACAAATAACTTGACCGATATAAATTAATTCGACAATATGAATCTATAATTACGATTTTATAACAAGTGCCTACCGTTCCAGCGTGCGTAATTACAAGTTCTAATTGCAAGAAAGATTATGTTCTTCGTTATAGGAATTTATATTTTTGTTGACTTGGATGTTGTTCTCAGATTGCAGATTTAGAGCCGCATCTAGTGCTAGTTGGTGGCGGTATCCTGGTGACGTGCGTGGTGCTGCGCGCTATCCTGACAAGCGTGTGCGCAGTGCGCAGCAACCTCAACATGAAGGAAAAGGTGTTCGTCGGTCTCGCCTGGATGGCCAAAGCTACCGTACAGGTAATTTTTTTAGAATTCAAAATACTGTCACACTCCAAACCCAATTAGACCACATTTAGTCTACAAGACATACATACCTGCAAAAATGCTACCTTACTGTCAGTCGGAGAAATATATTTTTTACATGTAAAAAATAGTTCGTTCAGTTTGTAACCATTTTGCAACAAAATAATTTTGCAGTTTATTATGAGGTGAAAGTTGATATCTTTATTCGATGTCAACAGGCCGCATTAGGTCCTGTAGCTTTGGATGAAGTTCGCAAGATGGCGACCGCCGACGGCCAGCCCGTGCCCGAGATGCTGCAGTACGCGGAGACAGTGCTGACCGTGTGCATCATGTCCATTGTGATCACCGCCCCCCTCGGAGCCATGGTCATCACTATAACTGGGCCCAGACTGCTCTCTAAAACTACCAAGCCTCCTGTTTTGGAAGGTGTGTATTACTTCTATAAATTTCATATGCTTCATGATTATTTAACAAGCAGACACAATTAATATTCAGACTCACAAAAACAAAATACTTTTTAGTTGAAGGTTAATAAAATAAATTAAAAAGTCACATTTCCAATATTTATTGTATTAAAATTAACAATCGTTCCACAAATAAATTTTACATTATCAACAAATTTGCTTAGTACGAAAATCTTTCTGGTGGATGTCTTCTGGGATCATACTGGGAACCATTATTATTAGGAACGTAATAAAAATGATTTGGTTCCATTGCCGCATTGTATTGGGGTATATTAGGATTGTAAGGTGTTTGAGGCCTGTTTGTAGTCCATTGGTACGGATTGTTTAGAGATTGATTAAAATTATTGATATAATTGTTATTAGTTGGATAAGAATTAGTACCCCCGGATGGAACATGGAAATTATTACTTCCATGCGAATTGCTTCCTGCATTATTTCTATAATTGGGTATCATAGGAGTTCCGTAAGAATAGTTTGTTTGTGGGTTATAATAATTACCGTTACTGTTGTAATGTGAACCATTAGGACTTTGGTAACCGTTAAAGTTTTTATTGTAATTAGACGTCGGATAGGTATTGAAGCCATTGTAATTTGGTCGTGAATTATTTATCATGTGACCCGACGGCAAAGGTCTGGGTTGAGGATAAGTATTAGGTATTCTATTACCACCTTGTGTCCTATTGTAAATGTTATAATTAGTTACATTTGATCTAGGATACGAGTTAGGGTAACCCGGTGTTGGTACATTACCGAAAGAGTTTTTTGGTTGGTTACCGAAAGGATAAGAGTTGTTAGTGGGCAAACGCATGGATGTAGTATTTGCTCTGTAATTTGGCCAAGGTTGACTGTGCGGGGGCCTTGGACTTGGTGGATAAGTATGTCTAGAATTTTGGTAATTATGATTGGATATATTATTGTTAAGATAATGTGGAATAGATGAGTTATAAACAGGTCTGTTAGTGACGGGCATTTGATAAGGTATTATTGGTACAACAGGTTTTGAATATGAAGGATAGGGATTGTTTCCATATGGATTATTGGGTTGATGAGTATTATATTGATTGGTATTATTCGGTTGCCGGTAAGGATAAGATGTAGGCAGCTGTGGATACATTGGTGAATACCCAGATTGTCTGATCACGCGATGACTTTTGAAGAACTCACATAAGGAATTCCCACATCCGCGTTTAAATATTTGTTGTTTCATGTCTGCATCATTTTCCTTAAGGTTTGATTCGTCTGAAAAACTTCTAGTCTTCAAATCATTTCGAAAATAGTCAGTAAATGTTCGTGGAAACGATTGATAGTTTTCGTAAAATTTAAGGAATGCCTGTTTTTCATCACCATTTTCCACTTTGTCACTACATTTAATCGTGTTACTTAATTGCAAAATAACAATAGTCGCTATTAAGATGCAACGAACCGTCATCGTTAACTTCTAATAAACGACTAAAGTGGATGAGTGGATGGTTCTACCGATGATGTCACTCTGAACAATACTCAGATATACTTTGACCTTTTTATCACTGCCGGCATACGACATACACTTGTTGTGTACATATTGTTTTTATAATGTTATTTTTATTGTAGTCTTTATCAACTTCGTGTGGTACAGGAACAATCAGTTCCACGATTTATACAAAATTTTATACGTATAACTAAAATATGAATATAGCAAACCATTTTCAAACTTCCTGATTGTAATCTTATATCAATTCGTCCTGTAAACTTCCCTTAAATTCTTCCTTTTTTATTACCACTTATTGGAAACATTTCTTTCGTCAGGTTGGCGACGATCACATCGTCCATCTATTCGAGACATATCCATCATCGATGAAGAAGAGGTCGCTGAACGCGAATGCGAGGCAGAAGCCAACCACTCATCACCAGAGGACAGTCCCGCAGCGCCCAACGCATACAGCAGCCCCACGCCTGCGCCAGTGCCCGTCACCGTACAACCTAACCACCGAACTTGACCGCTGCCACCTCGGCACAATTCTCTTACCGTCCATTGTACTTATTCATTCCACAGCACAACTGCTTGTTCGAGCAACAGTTCAAAAAATGCACAAATATACATGATTCGAAACATCCGTTATTTAAAATCAAATAACTACGTTATTTCGAGATTCGTTTTGTTATTTAGGATTTTAAATCTGTTGATACTTAGTACGGAGTACTTAATGAGTTGCGATAGAGCACGTACATTTATTTTATCCGCAGCTATCGCATAACAAGCGTTGGAAACGAATTAAACAAACTATTTGTATTCAAAACTACGAACTTAATTAGCTGATGTGATAAATGTGTATACTAATGTTTAATGGATTAGAATAAACCTCGCCTTTACACTTTTATATTAGGTAATGTTACCATTTGAAAAAAAAGTTTGAGTATTATTTAAAGTAAGTATCTTTTGTTGTAATTATTTGTTATTCGCATAGTTCTTGATAAGTAATTGTTAAATGAGATCAGTATTGTTGTGACATCAGCATTAATCTAACGTATGTTTTAAATTTAAGAAACTTGTAATCGATTTATTTTAAGAATAATATACCAATTAGTAGTTCCTTAATGCGTCGCATTGTACTTTTGTAATGTATACTTAAATTAATCAGATTTGTAACTTAGTAATGAAAAATACATCTTATTCGGTTCATACGAAGTACCTACCTAATAAATTTAAGGCCAAATAATTTATTAAATATACAAAAGTCATGAATATTCAATCGTTTTATTCACGATCTTTTGCGATTTAATATTTAAAAAAAAAAACACTAAATTATATCCAATTTAACGTAATTCTTGGGACCAATTATGTAATTAAAACAATCCCTGTGATTTATTATAACCTGGTACAAAGATGTAACTTTTTTATTAATATACTTCAATGTTTTTATAAATATGTGATCCTAAAATTATGTAATATTTATATTACTTAAATAGTGAAATTGTATGGATGTTAATTGTTATTTAAACAATTATCGCTGTCCACAATTAGTGAAATGCACTATGGTTAAAAAAATATTTTAAGAGAATACTCGTAATAAAAAATACTCTTAATTATTCTTTTATTTCTAGTATAATCTTAACCTTTAGAGCACGCGCACACTTTTTACTAAACTATTGCACAACTGTTTAGTCGCTTATATGGAGGAGTGCAAACTACTTGATTCGTACTAGTTCAATTAAACTGTTGAATGAGCTAGAAAACAATCGACAATCGCACACCAGTTGTGCGATAGTTTAGTCAAAGATGTGCGCCCGCTCTTAATATAGATTATCAAGACATAATTTAAATCTCGAAAGGCATATTACACACTACTAACAGTATTGTTAACGTGGATACAATCTCGAATAAACAAACACCAACTATTTCTACTACTTCTGATACTAAAAATTCAAGGTAGAATAGAAGAAAAGATTCATCATAATAAAATAACAACTGGAATGGAAATTTTAATCTTAAAATGCACGAGAACACCCAAACTTAAAAACACTAAGTAAACTTAAAAATGTTTATAATGAAATACTTAAAATTAATAATTCTAATACCATTTTTTTTTTTAAATTATACGGCTTATGATTACAATTTTTACTGTATGTATTAAAAATCTAAAAGGCTAACCGTTTAACACCATTATGTATAACAAAGCTATGAAAAAATATGGAACTGATTAACATGAAAAAGCTATATCTATTTACATAACGCTCTTAAGTTTAATTGTTATATCTCCATAATTTAGATGACATCCTTCATAATTGTTGGCATAACAAAATCTGCGCATAAAGATAAGTACATAAGACAAGTACATAAAGCACATATATTTCTATTATACTTTAAACAAAATGTTCTATACTAACCCGTCCAATGTATTCAATTTTGTCTTTCTAAGGTTATGAAAATATTATGAAAACATAGCGAAATTCTATTGAAAGATTTATAATCAATTTAAAATGTAATTACAAGATATTCTTAAAAACTGATGGAACATATTTTTACAATAACTAAATACATATAATATAAACAACACTACTTTGATCGAATGACAAAACATAAGTTTCTAGATTTAATTGTTGCGTATTGTTAAAAGAAAAAATATAAAATTCGATAACTTGATTCATAACGAAACAAGACAGTAACATTTAATTCTCAATTACAAATTTGCATTTTTATATATTTTATTTATGAAAGGCAGGCACAAGAGCGGTGATAACACAAAGGTGATCAACGACACCCATGGATATCCGTAATACCAGAGGAACTACAGATGCGTTGCTGGCCAAAATATAATATTACATAACGTGATTTAGTTATAATATAAAAAATATCTTATACGAATGTAGGTGGGATAATAATCAATATACGTGCAATTAAAATATGATTTACAAGAATATTCCTTAGTTTATTGTACCTTAACTACTTTATACCATAGACGTCGCCAGCCAATGATCTAGGAAGTTCTAGGCCTACTACTCCTCAGCAGTTACCATTAATTCGATGCCATTTTACATTAATTTTACATTTTTTGATTTTTTGGGATAGGAAGCTTTCTCCCAACCCCGCCTGGCGACGCCCATCATACATGACTTACGAAGCTATACATCGAACATAGTAATAATCGGAAATACCTAATTACATTATGACTAGATCTATATTTGGATTTCTTTTAACCGTTCTATTTTTAGTGATGCCGTAGTCTTATACAAATACATTCAACTTCCAGATTTTTTAAACAAATATTAATCATATTCTAGCTAAACTCAAGTCCTTTATTTGTTCATTAGTTTACGCTTTTTACTGATTAAATTAAGCCAATGCATCAATATCAAAATATAAAAACATCGAATGTCTTAAAAATAATGTCAAATGGAAACAAACATTTTTGTTAAAAATGGTAAACATTTTTATTTTTTTAGTTGACTATATGGTTAATACAGAGATTCTCAAACGCATGATGAAATATAAACATTAGCTTCCGGTAATTATTACAAATACCACTATTTCAATATTACTAATAGCATTTAGTAATGACAATGGTTAATAAAAACTACTAATATTGAATATATGTGTTCAGATAAAAATTAATGTAGCCAAGTTAAGACACTTTCACACGATTAATTCCCCAGAAAAGTCTTTCTAAACAAGTGCATTGTAAATCGGTATAATGCATGTTATGATCAGATGATTGGAAGATAATTGTTTATTCAAAGATTACACGAAAAAATTTCCGCATTCATTTTTGTGAACGCAAACATTATGTACTGTATACTGTATCGGTTTTCCTCGTGTTGATATTTTCTCAATGCTGTTATTATTTAAAGTTCAGGTCCTGCATTGAATATATCAATCAAAACAAGATAAGAATAATTTAAATAACAAAACTGTTATGGAAGTATTCACAACAAGCTGAATAACTTCTGCATTAGTAAAAGTTTAAGAAAGACCTCTCTATGATACAAATCAGACATCGATACATTAAGATTGCTTGTGGTTATTGTGTTGGTTGGTACGTAAATTAGCGCGTTCATCAGAGCTGATTGTCCTCGACAGGAAGGTGGAGGAGGTGCGGGCCGAGGAGGAGGTGCCATTCTTCTGCGAGTCCGGTTTCTCCAGCCCTGTTTATATTAGTTCAGTTAATAACGTCATAAGATTACGTCAAACGTTTAACAAGACGTGCGAAACAAATTAATGAATATGCTAATTAATTGCAGCTCCTCATTAGATCGTAATGATAATAACTTGGATGTAAAATAACTTGCCCGATATCCTTTAATTTGATTACATTACTCCTTAAAATTGTAGGTAATAAAGTATCCGAATGTATGTTTACTGCTTTTCTATTTATTTTATAAATAGCAAAACCTTTCACAAGACTATAATAAGGCAAATTAATACAACACTGAGGCGTTTTTTAAAGACATCAAATAATGTTTACAATTACGATCTTAATCACTTAGGAATCTCGGAAGCTATTCCAATTGCGGAATTCTATTTTAAATTCTGGCAATAATGCGATTAAAGCTTCAACACCTATGCGAAACGAGTGCTAGTTTTGGCGTTTGCGCTAAAATTATAATATAACTGACATATTTTTGTTAAAAGCGATATTAACTATGTTAATTAATGGAATGCTTTACGAACAAAGTTGTGAGTAAATTTAACACACCCATCACAACGCACGTTGTTATATTCGCACGTAAACTGCGCAGGTTAACACGTAATGTAAGAATTTAATAGGCGTGGTAACTAACTAAGCTTGTATTACTTGTGGGGGAAAAGATTACGTTGTAACTTTACCTGAACCTAATTAAACTCAGTGCATGCAAATTTAACCACTATACAAAAAAACTCTCGTAGTCTTTTAGATAATTGCAGTTTTTGTAGATAAATATATCTAGTAACAGCGATAGCTAAATAATAGAAAAAGCATAAAGAAATTGAAGAACATGATAAATAAATGTTTAATATATACTTGGGTCTATCGGAGTCCGAGAACAACCTGGAATGAAATTAACATTTGTAACTCCTTAAACGATAATGTAGATCCTTTTCTTATAAAACGTTTACAAATAATTAATCTATTTTTTTATACTTAAAGTGTCAAACGAACAACTGGCCATCGGACTTCGAAAATAGCGAAGTTTCCGTTGCCCGTAAATATCCGCATTTGCAGATGAGTTTTCCTTTTGATTGATGAATATTCCTTTATTCAATAAATGTTGAATATAATAGCTTAATTTCTTACCTAAGCGTTTTCTGATCAGGTAGTAGAGTTTAGGTTTAACTACCAGAATGAGGAAAATGAAAACACCCTGTAGTTCATTGAACAGATCGACGATAGTCCAAAGCCATAGCGGCTGTGTCACAATAGTAGAGAGCAGTTCCGACACCCAGCCTGCGCCCATCACCACCCATAGCTTTCCAGTCAGAACGTATCTGCGAATAAAAGAAAACATTAACACGTACTGTTCCTTTATTATTTCGCTGTAATAAATTCAAACACAACTAGACTAAGTATTTATCAAATCTCTGTAGTAATCTGTATCATTATCATAATTAAAAAAAAAGTGTTACTGTCAGTAAATTTTGTAGGATTAAAAAAATAATGTTCTGTCTTAAAGTACAGTATTTCGAACGATTGCTTTTTAATTTATCTACAATCTAAATAAATAAGAAATCAAGATTTATATAACAACCAAACGATAAACTTTCTTAAGAATTCAAAATCCACTCACTTAGCTCTGTCAACACGAAAACGTCGCTTAGCACGGTCACCGACGGAGCCGGCCTGCAAGCGGTGAACCTCGGACTTGACACGAGCGCAATGCCGCGCAGTCAATATCCATAGAATAAAGTTAGTGCCCGTTATAATGCCTATTGGTATCACAAAATATATGTAGTGAGGCCAATCTGATTGCAAGTTCTGAACTGAAAAAAAAACAACTTCATAATGTCATCACACAAGTATAATAATTTTAAAAATAAAGGATTTAACACTTTCAGAATAAGATTATACGCTGTAAATAGATTTGAAACAATATTATGGAATGAAATGTGTACATAACGTGACTTACTTGTAGCTATAAAAATGTTTAAAGTGAACGATCTGAACTAATTATAGATAGACGATGTATATACGTTATTATTAATAGCCATCAATCAAACTTCTGAGTCACTGTTACTAAAAGTTCTCTAAGAATCTTTAGAGTATATTATAAGAAGCTATAAAGATAAAAAATGGCCTTACGTGATCCAAACCAGCAGGCACCACTGCCGATGTTGGCATCGAGGATGATGGAAATAGGATAGTGGTCCAAAAGGAACATCGATAGTGTCATTAGTACTGCGATACTCCAAGCATACATGGAGTACCACACGAAACGGCGACGTTCAGAACTGCTCTTCCTTAAAGGTTGAACAGTTCTCACACTCCTGTAAAAAAAATGTAATTACATCTATGCAGTAAATAAAATAAAATAAAATAAAATAACGTCTAATCCTTGTCAACACTACAATTATGAAAAAAAAAGTAATTAAACACAAAATAATGAAATGAAAAAATGAAAAAAGAAATATTTAAAATTAGCGTTGCAATGCTGACTGGATTGGGTCCTCGCTTAGCTATAAATGCTCCTATTGAAGTACCAGCGCTGATCTTCCGCGAGAACCCTTGGGATCATCCACACATCAGTAGTAGCAGTGGATAGGTAGAAATTATCAAATACATATGAGTAAAAATAAGATTAAAGAAAAAAAGATTAATAAATAAAAGATTAAGAAAACAGTAAATATTGCCTATTGTTTTAAATTTTAATTGTGCCGTATTGTTTACGAAATATTCTACAGCTATATTATTATAATGAAATGGCATAAACTGGTTTATTATGTTTAGTGGGTTTTATAACCCAATTTGTCGCTGAATAATGGACGCGATTGTCATAAAGTTGTTAATAGTTATTGATCGCAAATGTTTCCTGCCATATATACCGGCTACTCTAGGTATTTTATTGTCACAGAGATTGTATTAAACATAGGCAATGCGATAATTATCCACTCTACGTAAATTGATACTCTATACATTTGGTTTAAAAAAAAAGTATTGTCTATACATTTTAGGGCAGTGGCAAACAAGGATTGTAGCAAAAAAAATTAAAAAGAAATCATTTCTTATGAATAAACTTTTAAGTCTGACATACTATAGTACATCTGTATGCTTTTTGAAGTTAATTTAAATACTGTCAATTAATTAATAGTGTAACATTCATTATAATTCTTATTAATTGTTACCTAGATTCTATAACCAAAATATTACAAAATGTTAGCACTAAGAATAGCTATTATTATGCGATAAAATACGTAAAGCTTGCGCTAAAACATGTTCGGAAGCTTCTTGAGATTTTATAGAACATAAAAACAAGTCAGCGATTCCTACTAATACAACGCCTACACATATATGTATTTACGCCTACATAAGTAAACATTTACAAATTCATAAGAGTAATAAAGCGGTTAGTAACAAACACATAATAAATCAGTAGGGATTCCTATACATATAGTTATTCAACTTCAAGGCCCAACTTTAATCCCTTTTCCTTCCCACCCTTTTTCTTATAAGAAAAAGATGGTAAGAGAACGTGGATCTGACGGTGGAGAAGACGCATAAGAAGAGGAAACATCCTCTTATGCGCGTCTCCTCTTCCGACGCTAAAGGGTCTACAACGCATTCGCTATTCGCAACGAGGTAGCTTTACCAGTTTGGCGGATTTACGTGGCCAACTGCGTTTGCATATTATCATGTTAAAAAAAAATAATACCTGAGTTTCAAGTTTAGTCACAAATAATTAAGACAATTTTCGTGTCAAGATATGTTTTTTTAATATCTACATACGAAATCTTTATTTTAATTAAGGTTATGCAGATTGATAATCTGTATTACTATTTATTAGTTTTAACAAAAATTGCGTGTAATTCATATAAAAACAGTCCGTAGAGACGGCGGCGGTGTTTGTTAATTAAAGACCCACCCTCTTTACAGCTAACAGCAATTGCGACTTTATCTGACGCATTACATTACCATAAATTCCAATGAATATGTACTATTTGCATAATAAATTATGAAAACAATCAAATATACATAAATTAAAAACTTGTTACCTTTCATATTATCATTTGTTATAATCGAAACACATTTTTGAAAAATGTTTTGTGATTCTCAAAAAATACAAAACACAGAATATTTAGAACTTCTATTGACACTAAGTATTTAGCGATATCGTATGTGGACCCGATTACGTAAGATGTCTGGTAGATCAATCTAACCGATTTATTTATTAGGTCGGTTAGGCAATCAAAGTTGGTGGAAGGCGTCAGACGACTAAACCACTGGGGTGATTGAGGGAAATATATTACCTGCGGCGACCACGCCACACCCGACCATTTTATAACCAAGAATCAATGAAAGTAATTTGTTTTCAATTACACGTTTATTGGCCTACTGGGATAATTCATTAGCTTGCGCGTTTCTGGCTTTATTTCCAAAGTATTAGGTAGATTTGCTAAATACGCTTACATTGAGCATTGTTTTAAAAATGTAGTTTTGTAAAAATAGCAGTATATCGTTAATTGACGTGAACACGGATAAATGCGGATCCGGCAAGGCCAAACAAATGAGATGTTTGAACACAGACAACCCTATAACGTGGCTGACGCAGAGAAGCGATCCTCCCACCGGCTAGCTCTTATTTAGAAAAATATTAGTCACAGGGTGTTACGCCTTTGAACAGCTATAGTACATCAATCTATTATACGCCAAATATTTATTTTTAAATTGGCAAAGTTTACACGGGAATACTACGGACTGACAGCAGTTCCACTATTTGGAGCTCTGTCCGCGCTAAATCGTTCAACATTTTGTAGAAATTATTTCATTCATAGAGAAATTTATAATTTAACGTTAGAAAATTTGTAATTTTATCTACTATTTTACTTTTACCTTAAAGATGTACGAGAAAATTAATTTCATCAATCATTTAATTCACAGTATACATCAATGTAGGTTATTTTGCTTAGGCTTAAATCCTACGATAATGTTGACGGCTGTTTGCGTCAGGGCTGGTAAAAGATTGAAAGCTAATATCTCGTATAGAAGAGTTTAGAATTAAGCTAATTAAAACCAACATGAAGCTTGCAACTTGCAACCCCTAAGTTGTACTTCATGAGTGAAAACAATCACTTGATTACGACGATCGTGCGAGGATGGGAAGTCGTAGCATTTGAAGTGTATTTTTATAGTGTTATGGTGTTATGGCGGAATGGTATAGGTACAGGCTAAGCACATAGTCTTAGAGCAAATAGTTTGGTACTAAATCAACGTTTGAACATAAATTGAATGAATACGTAGTTTGCACAATCCGGTTAAATAAATCTGATTATTCCATAACATAAACATGACTACATATTCACAGATTAATTTTATATCTACGCTTAAAATATATTGGATTTAAATTTGATTATGTTTAAAGAATCATATTCTATGTATAAATGATATCACAGTTATTTCTTAGCCACAATAGACATACCCATTGATTCTGAGATTTAACACGCCACGAGTTTTTCGAGTTCTTGTTACGTATTTACCGAGAAGCTGGGAACTAGACCGACATTTTAAATCTAAACAAACTGACCTATGAAAGAATAATTTTTAGCTCAAATTAACATCTGCTTTAGATTATGTTTTTATACATTTGAATATATTTAGTTTTTGTTGAATTACGTCTTAAAGACCATGAATAGAAACTGTCGAATGAACTCTTTGGTCGAACAATCAATCTGTATCTAGAGTCTATTCTACTTTCAAGTGTATTTGGTTTCAAGATTTTTTAAAAATAGTAACTACCCTTTTACGAATTATCGATGGCTTAGTAAGCCTTTAAAAATTAATGAATGTTTAATCTATTCTCCGCCAACATTTGCAGTACATTACTAGTGCGGTTTAAATCAAATAAAAACGAATGCAAACATGCGGTAGAGGTTTTTAATTTATATGTAAACAAATAAGTCTTACCCAAATGTCCACCATATGTCGAAGCACATGACGTTCAGCCAGCCGAACGCCGCCATGAAGCCGAAATAGATACCGTACCCTGTGCAAACAATATGCGGTAATTGATCAAGCGTGTCACATCAGAACATTCGAACTGACCCGAACAAATATTCTTTTGTTATCATATCTCATCTCCGCGCCGATGATTGATTGTTAACATATACATATAACAAAATTGGAATTTCCGTATGTAGTATTGAAAAAAAATGTTATTCGTGACCATAATGTTTCTGTGTTGCTGAAAACGAAAAACAAACTTATGAAACTTTTGTCTGTTTATTCATCTGCTTGCGAGGTCGGCTGGACGGAACTTAAGCGGGAACGTGTGAATACACGAGGGAATATTGTATGCAACTTGTTTTTCTTATTTCCTCGCTGACGGAATTGCGCTATTTATTACATAAATATGGAAGTTTTCTATGCTTTTGTCATTACAAGCTTGTTACAAGGTTGATTCAAACTTGAGTGTTTGCGCACCAATTAACCTTATCGCTAACACCTGATACCAGAACGCCCACCTGACTCAAGCACCGTAACTAGGAAAATGAAAGCTCTAAGTACACTTGCTACGTACGCATAATCGCTTTATAATTTATTAATTAATAAAACTCTTCTACGCAACATAATACAAAAATATGAGAAAGCTGTAAGTAATTAGATCCTTTGTTACTAACCTAAACTTATTTATCTTACTAATCTATGAACATAATCTTACTAATATTATAAATGCGAAAGTTTAGATGGATGGATGTTTGTTAGTTTGTAGCCTAAACGACTGAATGGACCTCAATGAAATTTGGCATAGATGAACAGGACAATCTGGGAGAACAAATAGGCTACTTGCTTTTGTTTTTCTTTATTCCGCGCATTTGGAGTCGCGGGCAAAAACTAGTTCTTAATATAAAGTGAACTAGTTATCATCGGTATGTTATGTATCCGGGATCGTGAAAATATTGGGCAAAAGCTAATTGTACCAGAATTCCATTAGCTTTATATTATCGGCCGTTATTATTTCATTTACATTATTATTTCTTGATAAATTCCAGCACCAAGTTCACATTTTCGAAATATGTATACAATGTAACAGACGAAAAAATACAGACATTCTTCATATTACAATAAAATTTTCCAAAGCACGTATAAGGTAAAGCAAATAAATTAATCTCAGCGAAAAACATTTAACATACACAAACACGTATAAGTTATTTTACGAAATATAAATATTTATTTCCCTTGCTTTGAGCATTGCGAGATAGGAAACCGTATCCTTGTGCTTTCGTAATATTAGCTTTAAATATGCAAATACTAACAAACTACAATAACTTTGCTTATTTTACTAATACGTGAAGACGATATTGTACAAGACGCGTACATTATGTTTACATTATAAACATATATATTAGTGGCTTGAGTGTTACAAAATTAATGCCATCCTGTGTTTTATGTTTAATAGTCTACAGTTTTCTTACAAATTGTACGAGTAAAACTGATGATTATTTAATTATTAGGTATTCATTATTTCATATACAATACATGATTCGGGACTAAAATCATAAAACACAAACCATTTAATACAAATATTAGGTAACAAACTGTAGCTGCTGTACTTCATGCAACTGTTGTACCATAATCCATATTACTATGAATTACACTCAAAAAACTTCTAGATATTATGAAACTATATAACCTATTGAATTTAGGACGATACAAGAAGAAAGGATAGTTATGCATACATACACCACAAATCTTAGTAAAAAGCGAAGATTGTTCGCAGACATTACTTTAGTAAATGAGGTTGACTGAAGCAGTTAAGGATTTATCTTACCAAGTAATTTGCATGTGAGCCTGTCAACGACCGGGCTGTACTGTACTCTCGCGAGGCAGGAGTAGGCGAGCAGCATCATGCTGACGTGGCAGATGAGAGTCTGGCCGTGCAAGTTGCGCAGCTCCGGCAACGCGCAGTACACTATCAGCGTCAACGCCAAGCAAACGCTGGATATACTATTTATCTAGATTAGAAATAAATCAGTTACATTTTAAATTGTTTAAACTTTCGTAATCATATCTATATATATCGTGAGACGTTTATGACGAATTATTTAACAGCTATCACTCACGTCTATTATTCCGGTGACGGCTCCAGTTACACCTTACTAATATTACATTATAAATGTTATAAAAACATAAAAGTATCTAGGTGGGGAAAGTTGTAAACTTGAAAATGTTGTGAAATGTTTTTATGAAAAATCATTTTCAGTAAACAGATGTACTCGAGACCTTGACCAGTCACGCTATCCGACTCGGTAATTATAAATTAGAAAAGAATAAAACCATTTGTTAATTCACATTACGTGGAAATTTTAATCTACATTTTTGTTCGTCGAATTACATTCATCATTGTTCCTCAAATTTTATTCTAATTTCCGGCAAATCTAAAATATAGCCGTTGAAAAGTGAAACATATACATATTATTAGAACATTCAAAATTAGCTTAAAAATAAGTCGATTCCACTATTCTTACTTAATTATGTTAAACAAGGGTGTTATGTTTACTAAAATTTAAGTTTGTAGCTACTACTTATAAACTTACCACGAAAGCAACGCGAAAGTCCTTTATATTCTCTGCTGCAATGAAGCAAAGGAGAGTACTGGATATGACGTCATTCTCAGGGCAATGCCTTCGATCGAACATTTCTATACAGTAGTCGTTAGTTATGGATATAGAAGATTCCAGCAAACCCTCAGAAGTCAAACGATGGTTGTCACGAGGGTCCGATCTGTTAAGCGCGAACTTTCTGTCCGGGCAATCTAAGCTCGTGCGGATTCCCATTACCTCTGACAAAGATAAGCATATTTCAAAATTGCTTAATTTTAGGGTAATAGTTAAGTCAATTATGTTGAATAGAAGGCATAAGATTTATACAATATATTTCTTCCTTATCTCTGATGTATAATTTGTTGCAAATTAGTTTTAACTCATTCATCAAAGCAACTCACACAAAATCACTGAGACAAGATCCTGATATAATTTTATCAAGTATATATATAAAACATATCACAGTGTTATGTGTATTCAATAAATATTCAATGAACAAAATATATATTATTATTATATATTTACCGGTATTAACATTAAAATGTTAATAATAATAACTAAAGAAGTAAGTAGGTACTTGAAGGAAGTGAGTAACGAAATGAGCCACAGCTTAAAATAGAGCTTTCTGGATAACATTATCTTTGAATTATTTGTTAGTTGCTGTAAGAAATAAATTATCTAAAGTCGAAATTATTACCTAATCCCTTTTTTGCGTCATTTTTAAAACATGTTTATATTTTCACCCTCAGTTTTAGATGAGAATCAAACAATTAATGTTTATAATTAAAAAGGTCCTTATAACTCCGATCCATCAATAAATCATTTCTTTAGATGTATGTTTTTTTTGGGAATTTACTTTTGATGTTTCGTACGTCAGAAGCTATACATGTGGGTTTACATGTGTGGGAACAGAATTTCCGTCATGTTCAAGTGCACAAACCTTGTCCGATTAGCTTACTAAAAGTTTTCGTAGTCTGGCAAAGTAAGCTTTGTCACTAGAAATAATTGAATTCACCTTATTTTTTTATTTCATCAATTCGGGTCTGGTTCAAAACTTGCTATACTAATTATAACATAATTGTAAGTTGATTTTACTTATCTATACTTCTCTACTTCTATATCTTTTCTATATTATTTACTTTGTGGCGTAGGATGTCAGCAATCCTAGTATATTTTCAAATAATTCTTTCTTTAATTAATATCCATACACTTACGACACGCTTTAGGCTTTACATTTTCACGATATTAAACTTAGGAGGTAAATAAATTGGAAAAATCATGTGAGAAAAGGGACTATAAATTACAAGCTGCAAACCTTGAGGAAACAAAGTTGCCATGGTTGTAATATGTGCATTTGAATTTTGACATTTGTAATTGACAATTTTACATATGTAAAAAACAAAATAAAGTTAACAAAAAAATAATTTCATGAGGATGAAGCCGCACAGTAAAGCTAGTACTGGATAAAAAGTGGAGAAAAGTATTACGTTTTAAACTTCAACGTTTACGACAAATAAGCGTTCTGCCTTATCAGATAAGGTTATTATCAACTATTTTATTTGATACGAAAACGTACCACATTTGATAAATCGTAACATTAGTTGAAAATAATGAGCAACGAAAAACATACCTGTCAAACCGAAGTAATCATTCTTTAATGGTTCCAAGTAATACATTGGTCGGAAATAATTTTGCTCGTCTACATTTGGGACGCAAGAACTGACTAAACTGTTGCATCTTTTAACTTTATAATGGTATCCTTCAGGACAGCATTTACGTATGCAAAAGGCGTTGAAAGCAGCGCAATTTCGAGTGCAAACCTTAGCGACTAAATCATCGATACCATCTCCTTGATCGATGCACCATTCACCTTTCATCAGCGTATTTATTTTACTTCTATCCTTTCTGCTCGTAGTTGTTAAACCATTTTTATTAACAGAAAAAATATAATCCCTTTGTCGTAATTCAACAGCATACTCGTCAGACTTGCACTGCAAGCCGATGTCGACTTCGTACACATAACTGTCTGTTATATTCAAACGGTCAACAATCCACTTCTCGTCAATGTCTCCACTATCAATACACACATGATTCCTATCGTTAAAAACTTGTCCTTTCTTACAGCATTTCCGAACGTGATTTATTTGTAAGGCTGATTCCGGTTTAGTTTCAGTATCATTGTTTACACAGGTTAATCCTATCGTTTGCGGAATGTATTGCATTACGGTCCCATTGACGACGTCAGCCACCAACCTATCATAACAGATATTCAGAGAAGTCG